AGTATTTGTATAAATATCAATCGACTGAATTATCAGTCTGGTCAGGGAGCCGTCTGAAAGAGCTTTTAAAAAGTGACTTATGCTGCATTCCAGACAACTTGGAAATTTCTGACCTCCGACTAGGAAAAAGTAACACCACTTCACAAGTCCAAGTTCCACATTGTGAATTTGGAGAAAGAATACCCGACTTCACGAGGTGCAGCAGAATGGCGTCACATAGCAATGGCCGCTGCCATAGAGAACACATTGTAATTGCTAAACCACAAAGTGAAAGGCAACAAAGTATATTTGCCTGCATTTAATTAAATATATAATATACTATCATTTAGTGCAACCTGTTCTGCATGTAAATTGATTGATTGAAATATGTTTCCAGTGTTATTATAGGTGCTAAGGCCACTGCTGAGGGTTCAGTTGTGCACACTTGACAAAATCCATCAGTTTGTCACAGCCAGCCATGTTTTTTTGTTCACTTTCGGCGTAATGAACAGTGGTTGTTTTATTCAGATCCAGTACAAGAACTAATACCCCAATGTGAAAGTATTGCATTGAAAATGTTACTTAATTGAAAGTATGTACATATAATCAGAAAATGTACTTAAAGTGCTAAATGCAGAATGAAAAATGTCCCATGTGACGTATATTACATTATTAGATTATTAGTACTCATGCATGGACTTAAAAGCAAGATTTTACTATTTACTGTTGTAATTGGTTGAGGTTGAACTATCTTGTATCAGATTAATGCAATTAATGATGATTTTCATTATGAATTAATCTGCTGATAATTTTCTCAATTAATCGATTGTAAGAATTTTGAAACTAGTGAGAAATGTTTTCACAATTACCCATAACCCAAAGTGACACCTTCACAATGCCTGTTTTTTCAGTCCAAACCTCAAAATGATAAAAAATTAGGGCTTGGCAAGTTAACGCGCTATCGTGTTAATGCATTAATTAACGCTGACAATTATTTTATCTAACATTAACACAGTTATTATTAGTTTGAAAGTCTGTTGCTCACTGGCTCTGAATACACATACAGTGAAACCCTGGGTCACAGGAGGGGCGGGATTTTGATCAGCCTGCAAACCACCCGCCCAAACAAGCAGTGGAGGGAGGCTTCGGCAGACTACGCTGACTATGCAGCGTGTGGGAGAAGTAGATAAACAAAAGCAAGAAAAGTGAACAAATGCCAAATGGTTTAACTTAAGTTAAAATTATAGGCTACATAACTTTACCTGATAGGCCTTCATCTAGTTTTGCGGGGATGCTCTGCCATGTGAATTCCCTCCTGTTGATGTCCTAATAACTATTCAGTAAACAGTAATAGATTCTGGAAACTCACAAACAGCGAGGATCAGTCTCTCTTCCAAATCTGCTCCCTCATCAAAAGAAAAATGTTTCTGCTGATACCTGTTCAGAAAGTAGAACAAGAAATGGATTTATATACTGTATGTTAACCTGTTGCTCAGAAGGAGCCTGTTATGATGATCTGATTGTGGCTCTGGACTCTAGATAAAAGGTAATGCCCTGGCAAATAACTTTTGTTTTTGATTACATTAATGTTTAAGTTGAGAGCAGCACTTTAGAATTCATTATTCAATTTTGCGCATAACTGTGTGATTAATTGCGATGACAAATTTTAATCATTGCCCAGCTCTATTAAAAAATACATTAAAATAATCAAAAGGAAACGTAACCAATCTTCACATTTGTGAAATTGGAACAATGAAATGTTTTTACATGGAAAAATGTGTTAAATGATCATCAAAATAGTTGCCAACATTACATTTCTATCAGTTCACTAATGTACTAACTGTACTTGTATAAACCAAAAAAATAAACTGAAAAAGATTTTTTTATTAACTTTTCATATGTTTTGTGTGTAAAAAAATCTTAATTTCTGAAGTAACTAATAACTGAAGTAAAAAGTACAGTATGATGATGTGGTGGAGTAGAAGTAGAAACAAAAGAAATACAAGTAAAGTACAAGTACCTCTAATTTGTACTTAAGTATTAGTACAGTATTTGAGTAAATGTAGTTAGATACTGTCTGCCAATCATGCATCTGAAACACTTTGAGGTTGGAAATCAGAAATTTTAACTGGTAAATATACAAGTTCCGAGCAGTCTGGAATGCAGCATTAACACGCAGAAAGTTATTACAGCAGTTTCCTGAAGCAGGGTCAGGCAGGAGGGAGTTTGTGCTGTTTGCACCCTCTCCCACAAGCTTTCCCATGTGTGTCATAATCATGGGGCTTAGTTCTATGTCACTAAGATGAGTGTACAGATGATTGCATTGTTACTGATTGCTGTGGGTATTAAATGAGTCAGCCCTGACTCCGTTTTCCGGCCCCCCACATATGATCGACTCATTCTGCAGTGTCCCAGCCCCTCCCACCAAAATGATGGAAGTAAAGTAAGCATGCTCATAATTTGGTTTACCTACTTGTCGATCAGAGTTTCAAATGTTTTGTTTTTATAATCATATTTTAAAGAGTTCTTGGACAGCTGCTTTTGTTTAGAGACCCGGGTTCAGTCCCCCACTGTGACCCATCCACCATTGTGTCCCTGAGCAAGACCCTTAACCCCTAGTTGCTCCAGAGGCGTGCGACCTCTGACATGTTACAGCAATTGTAAGTCGGTTTGGATAAAAGCATCAGCTAAATGTAATGTAAATGTACTCGAGGTAGGTGGATTTGGTATACAGTATGAAAATATAACAGTATGAACAGCTCTGAAATAGACTGATGAATTAATAATTATTCATCTAGATGAATAACAAGATTTTATATGAAAACACACATTCAGCAAGTATCAAAAGTCTCATTTGGTATTTCTACTTTGGTATCATATCAAAAATTCACTTTATTCCTTGACCTCTGTGACACAATAGAAACTCTGGTCGCAACACTCCTTCTGATGTCTTGACGGTTTCAGGAAGTGTGATACGTTTCTTTGCGGGAGAGAGGTGTGATTGATGTGACTCGTACTGACAGAATGTGGAAGAGAAGCAGCTCAACCTCTTCGGTCACCAGAATGTTTATTTAAAATAGTTTGCCTTAATCAGTTCCAATAACCATCTAATGTAATCCAAAATCTTCTTCTGCCTTTTATTCTGGCCACTTGTCAATATTCCTAATGAAACAATTATTGATGAAACAAAAACAGGATTTCATAACCACAGTGCGGTGCAGATGGGATCACAGTCATCCACCTCCTTACCACCAAGCCCAGATGGAATTCCATTTTACTAATTACTATTGCTCTTTATCTTATAATATCCATATCACCAAAACAATTTTATTATTCTCCAAAGCATGCAATATTTTATGATTTAAGACTAGGTGTGCAACCGATTACAAAACTCACAGTTCGGACCATACTAGGGCTGTCCCCGACTAAGGACATAGTACATAGTCGAATCAGAATCGTCAAGTCCTGCCTATAGTCGAATCATGTATGATTTTTATTTTTTTGTGCGGGCGATTGCAAATCGAATCAGGCTCCGCCCATCAAAGCATTGAATCTTCAACTCTTCGGGTCAGCCCTAGATCATACCATGGTTTTAATCAGAATTATTTATTAATTATTTCCTGGGTGTATATACTCATGTGTGTGTGTGTGTGTGTGTGTGTGTATATAGTTTATTAGGGGTCGTAGCCTGAGAGGTGGCAGGGAACGCGAATGCAAGGCAAACCCTATTGTTACTGTATTGTTTTTATTAATTACATTTATTCATTTAGCTGACGCTTTTATCCAAGGCGACTTACAATTGCTATACATGTCAGAGGTCACACGCCTCTGGAGCAACTAGGGGTTAAGTGTCTTGCTCAGGGACACAATGGTGGAAGGTCGCAGTGGGGGATTGAATCAGGGTCTCTCACACCAAAGGCATAGTCTTATCCATTGCCCCGTCACCACCCACATGGTGGGTAATTATTCTTCTTCCGTCCTCAAAAGTCTTACTGCTGTCTAGACGGTAAATGCTACACACGCAACACTCATAGGGTAGGTACAGACCCGTAAGAGTACCTCGGGCTCAAAAATTCACACACTTCTACCTCTAGGGGGCGCTACAAGCAAGCTCAACTTGTTCGGGCTTGGAACTACAAAGGCACATATCAAAAACCTTTTGTAAATGCATTCAGAGGATTGAGCTGAATCTCGTAGTATAGGCCACGCCCATTTCCGCCTATAAGGTTTTTCCCTTCAAAATCACAAAAACTGAACTATTAAGTTTTTTTCTTTAAAGTCCTCCGAAGCTGGAAGTCCCACCTATACCAAACTGGCACAGACCTTCTCTGGACCAAGCTGATTGACATGAGCTTTGTAAAGCTCTGTAGCACAGACCATGTATGCGGCCCGTGTGTGCTAAACCATTCTTTGACTCATGTTCTTTACTCATGTTTTATAATATACAGTTTTACAATAGTGTATATAAAATAAACAACTCCCGTTTCAGGTCATTTCCCATGTCACTTTCACGTGTTTTCATGATAAAGCGTGGTTTAGAGACCATATAGTTTAGAGTCAGCTGGTGACCGTGTTGTTGTCAGCTCGTGTATTCTGTGACCCCTGTTGCCACCACAACAACTTCAAGCCTCCTGATACAAGACAGCAAGCCGTGTAGTCTGAAGTAGGCATAAGGTGCTAATACAAAGTGCACACAGAGGCAGGAGTATCTCACACAGCACCCTTTTTGTTGAATTAAATCACACCCTTTTGTGGTTATGTAATCAAACCGGGTGACCTAGTTTTAGATCTTTATATTTTATTGACATGTTTATTGATGTTTGTATTGTTTTTATCTCATTTTAATTTTTTCACTTTGGGGATCCTGTATTTGCTTTGTCTGTCAAAGCACTGTGTAAACTAAAGGTACTAAATAAATAGTTATTATTCATTGTGTAAATTAAAATAAAATGCCTCAAGACCACAAAAATTTCTTAAACAGTGCCACTACTGTCCTAAGACTGTGTGTGTTTGTGTTTCAGCTCGAACCTGGGAGGTGATGGGGGAGTTTGGGCGTCTCTATGAGCAGCAGTATGCAGTGGCTCTCTTCAACAAAGTTCGCTTTGACATAGAAGGAGGAGGTGGCCCACAAGCCCAGCTACTCCACCGCAAAGTAAAACATACTCTACAACCACACTGCAATACTCTGAGCACAGATTCCATACTCTCCTAACTCAGTAGTAGCACTTCTAAACAACATGTTAACATGGTTCACAATTTTTCTTAAATACACAACTGAACACATAAGTATGTAAGCCCAAGTCTCCCTGGTGAAGAAAAGAGTCGATACTTAGGGTAAGTCCAAATTCAGATAGTGAGACTTACTAAGTAAATATTATGTCCAACTTCAGACTTTTTAAAGAGGTAGTATTCTGCTCATTTTCAGGTTCATAATCTTATTTAGGGGTTGTACCAGAACAATTATTCTAATTTTCAAGAAACACCATATTTTTTGTCACACTGAACATTGCTGCAGCTCCTCTTTTCACTGTATGTTGAAGGCTTCGTTTTAGCTATGGAGTGATACATCTTGGCTTTAAATGATCTTAGTTGGGAGTTGCACATGCTCAGTTTCTAGTCAAAGACTATTAGAAAATCAGAAGCAGAGATGGGCGGGTCAGTGAGAAGCCAGTAAACACGGCTTCAGTTAAGCTGTACATTTTGCCCTTACCAGTTTAGCAACATGGACTGGAGCAAGAGTTTCAGAGTGGTGAGTTGTTAATCTGTAACCAATGTATCACAGGAACAACTTCCTGCCTGGAGGGTAGCTAGTGTTTGGAAGGGAGAGGAGGTGTGTGCTGCAGCTCAGTGTGTGTTTTTCCAGCGGTGTTTTTGAGGGTGGGTGTGTGTGTGTATATATATGTGTGTGTGTGTATATGTATATATATATATATATATATATATATATATATATATATATATATATATATATATATATATATATATATATATATATATATATATATATATATATATATATATATATATATAATATATATATCTATCTATCTATATATCTATCTCTCTCTCTCTCTCTCTCTCCTAACTTTCCGTCCATATTTATTATTTTTTTTCTTCTTGGCAGAAATGGGTTTCTATACAAATTATAGAACATTTTACTGCATTCAGTGAAGAAAGACTTACTTTGCTGTGCATTTCTACTATGAGGCTTTATTCAAGAGCTTGGCCTTTTAGTTTGAAAGCATGCCTTATTAATTTCACATTCAAATGTTGTAATGCTTCCCTCAAATACCCTGTTCTTGCACCCAAACAGCCCCTGCTTGCACTTAGATTTGCTCGGCTTCTGCTCAGACTATGTGCTTTGTTGTGGGGTTTGTAGAAAAAAAATTAAGGTATCAAACATGCTATTGGTACAGAATCGAAGGCACTATACTGTATTGGCACTAGTATCACAGAAATCCAAGCGATACCTGGCCCTAGTGCAGCAGCACTACTCTGCTATGCTCTATATGAGTCAGGGTGGCATTATTCTTTACAGAACATTGCATTAAATGTTCTTATTAAAATTCACATGGCAACAAAGAAATTAATTCTGGGAAATAAAGTAAATGTTTCGTGGTATGTGTGCTGATGCTGGAAAACTTGAAACTTTGAAATCCGCTTAATTTGATGTTTCTTTTTGTTTAGGTTTTTGTCAATTATCAAACACATTATAGTGTGTCATGCTTGTAATACACAGCTAGCACGCACAGAGAAGTTGGTAAGGAATACAGTCAGCTCTCTTAGAGGAAAACAATACTATCTGGATTTCTGGGCATTAAGACACGGCCGCATATTTTTAGAATACATAAACACAGGCTGGCCTTTTCCCTGCTTCTCTCCTTCTTTCTTAGCATTAAAAAAAACCTCAAAATCAGCCTGTGCAGTCATAAAAAAAACTCTTTGTCTTGTGGTAAATAAGGTTTGAGCTGAAATGTGCCGTCTTCCACAGATTCCACTGGCGAACAAGTCCATCTTCTCTGGCTCACTATTTCAGTACCTGGAGGAGAACAAGAAATGGAGGAACCGCTTTCTCTTCGTTCCAGACTCCTACAACATCGATTATTATGACAGCAAAGCAGTAAGGGGGAAAACTGCCTGTAAAATTTGTTTATTTGATCGTGGTTTGATTCATTGTCTAACATGTTAAATCTGCTCCCTATCTTAACTACCAGTCCCATGACAAACACCTCCATCCCAAAGGAACCATCAACTGTGCCGGCTACAAAGTGCTGACATCTATGGAGCAATACTTGGATCTGATCAGCAACAGCCTGCCTGGTGAGGAGGAGGAGGGTGGGAGGGGAAGTGATAGAGGGGAGCGGAGGCTGAAGTTGGAATAAATTGGGATGATAATTTTTTTTACTTATTACTGCCAGATGTTTCTAAAATAAAAATTACATTTCAAATAATTGTATTAATTGTATCAGATTCAGATTCCTTTGTCATTGCACAGAGAATAATGAAACTGAGTGCAATCCTGACCATAACCCACATAACAAATAAAACAAACATGACAACCAAATAAATAAAATATAAAGATTTGAGCTAAATTAAGGTTCAAAATATACAAATAAATAAAATGGTGGTGTGTAGATTACTAAATCTGTAAAACAATAGATATGAAACAATACAGTACAATAAGTTATTGTTTTCAGCTGAGATATTGCTCTCCAGGATACTGCACATTTGCTGAGTTGCAGTGGCCACATGTACAGGTAGTACAGTTGGGAATACATAAATAAAGCTACATCTCTGAAGAATGAGTTTGGCGGTGTATGGTATGCAACATTGGAAGGAATGACAGTCAATCCTTTAATTATGAGAGCAAACTGGTTGTGTATGAACCTGTTATAGCCTGCTAATAACACCCTGTGTCAAACCTTCAGTATCCTTAAATCATGACCATGGACAAGTAAGGCAGAATATCTAGCTTGTATTTGGTTTAGAAGTAGTGCCTGATGTTGTTTTATGTGTTTTCATTAAAATTGTTATTTTTATTAACAATTGGCTGCCTTTGTCATGACCAGGGCTTGACATTAACACCCGCCAACCTGCCAAATGCGGGTGGATTTCAGCCGTGGCGGGTAACACAGCCACTCCCACTAGCCACTTTGGCGTGTTGAAAAATTGTATTGTTTTTTTAAAAAGTCATCTGAAATAAACAAATTGCAATTTGATACTACTACACTACAACTCCCATGAGTACTAGCTGCACATAGTGTTTGCTCATTAGTCCAAGCGTGAAGCCGACAATACTGTAAACGCTGCTGGAGATTAAACGCGGACTGGCACCAACAATGACATCCAGACTTTTGTTAAAGAGAATCTGTCACAGGGCAGCTACAGCCCCTTAGACCTGTAGACCGTCAGCCTCCCGCCTGCTTTTAACCTGATGATCTCTGTCATCAGGAGCGACTGGTCGCATGCACACACATTTACACAGCGTTCACTCAGTGCGTGAGTGTGCGTAGGAGAACAAGAGACAGAGAAAAGGCTGAGACAAAAAAAGAGAAAAGCCAGGAGGAAAGTGCCCTTAAATGCTGTAAAATTACAGATATCTTTATGATTAAGGGACATGGTGTTACTACTAGCAAGGCTGTCTTTATGTCACATCATATCGTCTCATCACAACTACCTTTCCAGAGTTATTCTGTATTTTTTATTTTTTATTTTTTTTTAAAGTAATCATGCCATGTAGGAAAGCAGGAGAGGTGTTTGTATGGGAATCATCTGGAAAATATGTTTCAGGTGAAGCAGTTACTCAGAGCTACCAGAACTTCATGATAAACACAAATCCAGGCAAAGCTCTGAGGAAATGCAGATGCAAAACAAACAATCCCAAGTGCCCAAAACTGATATAGGCCTTCATAAATTTTTTTTAACCTGCTGCCTTTCTTAGACAAAATAATTTATTCTTTGCTCTTGTTTCTAATGCAGGTACATTTCCTACTCTGTATTACAGTATTTACTGCTGCTAAAAATATTGCAATTTTATCTTTTCAATTAATCTTTTACACCCATGCAGCACTTTTAGTATAATAATAGACTTAAAGAGATCATTTTATGCGTTTTGGCCTTTTCTCTCTCCTTTGAGTTGTATATCTTTTTGTGCATGTAATGGGTTTGCAAAGTGAAAAAGGCCAAAGTCCAGCCCAAAGTGAGTTCCCATCTCCCACAGAAAACTCTGCTCTGAACTGCCTGAAAACAGTTCATTTTGTAGTTCGACTCATAACGCTCGCCAAGCGGCTACTCCGACACGCCCTCAAAAACAGCGGTGGAAAAACAATGAGCTGCAGCACACACCTCTCCTCTCCCTTCCAAACACTAGCTCCCCTCCAGGCAGTCAGTGGACATAAAGTTGTTCCTGTGATGTAGAGACAGAGCTCAGTTAAAACTTTATGGATGAAAGAGACTTTTGTTACAGATTAATAACTCACCACTCTGAAACTTGCTACAGTCCATGTTGCTAAGCTGCTCTGCAACATGTACAGCTGAACTGAAGCCATGTTTGCTTCTCACTGACCCGCCCTTCTCTGCTTCTGATTGGCTACTAGTCCTTAACTAGGAACTGTGCATGTGCAACTCCCAACAAAGATCATTTAGAGACAAGATGCATCACTCCGTAGCTAAAATGAAGCCTTCAGCACAGGGTGAAAAGAGGAGCTGCAGCAATGTGCAGTATGACAAAAATATAATCTTCTGCTACAACCCCTAAATAAGAACCTGAAAATGAGCAGAATATGACCTCTTTAATAGACCTACATGTTTTCAAAAAAAAAAGGAGCTTTACATACAACCTCATCAGATATTACATTTTAGCACGCCAATTTAAGCATGCCATTGTGAACTTTAATCATATAAAACATAATTTTCCAACAACATAAATGTGGCTATTGGAAAATGCTGTGTAATTAGTAACTTTGGAAAACCACTAGCCAATGTGACTAGTGAGCAAAAAAGTTAATTTCAAGCCCTGGTCATGACCCACACCTTGTAGAACGTACTGTATTTGATTTGTCCAAAATAATTAGATTGTGACTGCTATTTAAATAAATGTTCTGTGGGTTAGAATAATGCTTGACCTCAAAACATGTATTAGTAATGCTGGACCCGCTGAAGACTACATGACTCTTCAAATGGATGCAAAGACATTCTGCAGTCATCATAATGCATACATCGATCAGCCATAACATTATGACACTGACAGCTGAAGTGAAAAACACCGATTATCTTGTTGCCATGGCACCTGTCAGTGGGTGGGCTACATTAGGCAGCAAGTGAACATTTTGTCCTCAAAGTTGATGGGTAAGAAACAGGAAAAATGGGCAAGCATAAGGATTTGAGTGACTTAGAGGGCCAAATTGTGATGGCTAGACGACTGGGTCAGAGCATCTCCAAAACTGCAGCTCCCCCAGATCTCAATCCAATCGAGCATCTGTGGGATGTGCTGGAAAAACAAGGCTGATCCATGGAGGCCCCACCTCGCAACTTGCAGTATTTACTGACAGAAATGAAATATAAGATCCATAAGTATATTTCCAGTGGTGTATAAAGACCTAACATAATGAACCATTATGTTTTTATTACCTTAGAATGAGCCATTTATATCTACATAACTGCGGACACCCCCTTCTATGGAGGTCTCATTATTGTGTCGACATGTTTCTACAGCTGACAACGGACAAACAGCGCTACAGAGTGCATTTCGTCATCATGGCTCAGATCAGAACTTTCGTTGAATACTGCCCTGGTGGAAAACATGTATTTAGTTTACTGCACACAAATGTGTCATTTGTCATTTTCACATGCTAAATGGCCATTAAAAACGTTACACCGTTTTACCACAAGCTGAAATGACTGTCAGTACTACTATTTAAAAAAATTTAAAGACATTTTGGTAAGATTTGCATTCTTATCTAATTAAGCAAAGACAGAGGAGCCTTGATCCTCACTTGACAATGCATTTGTAAACGTCATGTGTGATGTGGTTTATAATCGACTGTGGTGCAGAAACAGTGAGGCTTACATTTTCCTGTCATCTGTCAGTGGTCATACTTGATGCACTAGGTTTTTTGAGACGTTCTTGTAAAATACTGTATTACAGGAGTATGAGACATCATATAGCACTTAATTTTTTGATGTGGCTGTTGTTTAATGAACAAGTAACAATAATATTCACAATAACAAATGGTTTTACTGAATAATCAAGTAAATATAATTTCTTAATATATCAATGTAAAGAAACCTAATTTCTTGACTGGCAGCGCTCTGCCATCTCACAGAGGACATCTTTTGGGAGGGGGGGGGGTCCAATTCACAACCCTCACCACTAGATGTCACTAAAACTTGCACACTGAACCTTTTTAAAGGATCTGCTGTTAATGTCTTGGTGCCAGATACCACAGCACACCTTCAGATGTATAGTAGAGTCCATGTCTCGATGGTTCAGGGCTGTTATGGCAGCAAAAGGGAGACCTACAAAATATAAAGCAGGTGGTCATAATGTTATGGCTGATAATGTTAGCGCTGTGTGTTTCAGTAATTCACATTAATTTAATAGTTGACAACTAATCGATTCGTCGTTCCGGCCCAGTTCAATCTAGTTGCTCATTTTGTTTTTGTTATGTACATTTTCCAGATGTAAAAGCCAAAGTGGGAAGTTCCCCCTTCCTAAAGTGTGCCACCAATTTCCCTCTGATCCTCTGGCACCCTTACGCCCGTCACTACTACTTCTGTGTTGTGACCGAAAAGGAGCAGCAGAAGTGGCATGCTGTCCTCCAGGACTGTGTCAGGCATACCAATAATGGTAAGTCTAGCCAACTAATGATCAACACTACATCCTGCTCACACATGGGATAATAAATGCACTGATGCACCATGTGCTCACCAGCTTATATGAGTAGTGGCAGTTAGACTATGTTCTTATTTTGGTTGTTATGCTAATGCTCCCAATTGTTTGATGATTAAGTAGTGTAATACATAGCAATTTTTAGGTATACAACACAATAAGTTGTTAAAACCAATACAGGCACCAATGCATAGTAATAAAGAGCCTACCCTGATTCTGTGGGGCAGGTTTATGGGAGAAATATGAACTTTCATTTAGTCTGTGGTGGCCTAGGGCTATAAGCTGAAGAGAGTGGCTCAAAAGCCTTCAAACAAGTTTATCTCAGTTGCAAAATAACATGATGATGCAACAGTCCCCTTTTTAATTAGCAAGTCTCATCCTTATATGTTCTGTGCCAGTATAGTTTCAGTTGTATTTAGTGCATAATTTATTGAGGTTAGCTTTTTTTTTTTTGTGGAGCAACTCAATCCCAGTACTTATCCTGCCCCTCTCCACCATGAAGCCATGTATTTTAGGAAACATTCCTAAGAACATAATAAAGTCATATTGTGGTTGCATATTTCTTTACTCTCATTATCTTGTATCAGAACTGAAGAGCTAAGTGTAATGACCAAACATGGTTATAAAACAAGAAGACCCTCTGCAGTCAAGTGAGAGCCCCTTGTACATACGTGGCTCCATCAGACGTCATAGCTGTTTTCCAGACCACTGATACTTTTACCATTTTTATATAGATATAGATATAGATATAGATATAGATATAGATAGATATAGATAGATAGATAGATAGATATAGATAGATAGATAGATAGAGATAGATAGAGATAGATAGATATAGATAGATATAGATAGATATAGATAGATATAGATAGATATAGATAGATATAGATAGATATAGATAGATATAGATAGATATAGATAGATAGATAGATATATAGATATAGATAGATAGATAGATATATAGATATAGATAGATAGATAGATATATAGATATAGATAGATAGATAGATATATAGATATAGATAGATAGATAGATATAGAGATATAGATAGATAGATAGATATAGATAGATATAGATAGATATAGATAGATATATAGAGATATAGATATAGAGATATATAGAGAGATATAGAGAGATATATAGATATATATATATAGATAGATATAGAGAGAGAGAGAGATATAGATATATATATAGATAGATATAGAGAGAGAGAGAGATATAGATATATATAGATAGATATATAGATAGATATAGAGAGAGAGAGATATAGATATATACACACACACACAGATATACTTTTATCTATATGTTCACATGTGGTTGGCTACTCCATGCAGGAGCGAGTGCAGGAAATCTGCCACCCCATTATCCTAAAACTTGCCTGTCTCCCCGGTCAGAGGCTGGACCTTAGTTCCTATTTTGTATTGTAGATTTCTGAATATACTTCATGCCACCCATGCATAAGTCAATGCCCCAAAAGCTCCTGCTTTTGTAGCCTTTGATATTTTTGAAGGCCTGCCACATGACTTTGGTGTTGAGGTCTCTCTCCAGTCTCTGCTGATGTCTTTGCTTTGCCTCCTGGATGCCAGCTTTCAGTCTCACTCTGCAAATGCTGCTCTTTTGGCTCTACATAGAGCCCTCACCTCTCCATTCATCCAGGCTTTCTGGTTGGTGAATGGATTTTATTGTCTTTACCACATCAACACATTTGCAGATGTATGATGTCACTGATGTATATTCCTTAAGGTTGATGGGGTTCTCCTCGGTGGCGGCCTTTCTGTACAAAACATTACTGTAGAGCTGCTGTAGCCTCATCTGTCCACACTTTGACAGATTTTACTGTTTGGGCAGGAGAAGCAGAGATACATGGAGGGCTAGCATAAAATCGAAGATTTGCATTCAACAAAATTCAGCCTTAGAAGAATCACTTTCTGTAATATTTGCACATGGCAACTATGATATTGGTAATGGTATGGAAAGAAATCGCAGGTCTGTGATAGGAAATTAACTCTAATCTAGAAGGAGTGATATGTGTGTGTGTGTGTGTGTGTGTGTGTGTGTGTGTATATATAAGACTATGCAATTTTGTGTGCTGTTAAGAAGAGACTGACACCTGGTGGGGGCTTGGTATGAGAGGATTTCAAACAAACCCAAAATTAGGATTTACAAAGTGCTGTTGTGGTTTTGATCAGATTTTTATTTTCTTTTGGAAGCCAGACAGCTTAAAGTTATGCAGAATAGTTTAGAGGCCCTGTCTTTATAAATAAAATTGATATTGACATGGCACACTTCACAGTTTAAAATACAACAATAAGACAATACTTACACAGTAAAAGTACAGCAATAAAACATTATAACATACAGTATACGATATATAGTGATATTTAAATCGCCAGGAATAATAACTGACTTAACTCGAAGGAAATGCCAAAGAAATGAGATGTGTTTTTAACAGTGATTTAAAATCTTCTAGAGTTGAGGCAGTTCTGATATGGACTGGCAGGTTATTCCGCAGGTTAGGGGCAGCTACACTAAAGGCTCAATCGCCTCTGGTTTTAAGTCTGCTTCTGGGTACATCCAGGAGGAGGAGACTGGCAGATCTCCCCGCTCTAGCTGGAGTGTAAACATGAAGCTCTGTTAAGTACAATGGAGCCAATCCATTAAGGCATTTAAAAGTTAAAAGTAAGATTTTAAAATCAATCCTGTAATGAACAGGAAGCCAGTGGAGTGAGCGCAACATGGGTGTCTTCTTTCCTGTCAGGAGGCAGGCAGCAGAATTTTGGACTCACTCCAGGCGCTGAATAGATGACTTGTCTAAGCCCACATATAAGGAGATACAATAGTCAAGGTGGGAAGTTAAGAAGGCATTAATCACCCTCTCCAAATCTTTAGGATGGAGATAGGCCTTTACCTTGGCTCAACTGGAAAAAGCAGGATCTAACAGTGGAGGCAATCTGTTTATCAAATTTAAACGCACTATCCAATACAACACCAAGACTCCTTACAGTTGAGCGATTTATTTGAAGTCAATGGACCGAGAGAATCCCCATCAAGCAGTTCAGGATGTCCAAACACTATGACCGCTGTCTTGTCTCCGTTTAGGTTGAGGAAGTTTACGTTCATCCATGTTTTTAGATGTCCTTCATACGGTCAAGCAGAGGCTGCAGTGAGCCCTTTGTTTTAATATTCAGGGGCAAATACTGTAAATTTGAACATCATCTGCAAAACAGTAGAAAGAGACTTCATACCTCTCAAAAATGGAGGCCAGGGGCAGTACCTTTTGATTCCCACACAGTTTTCCAACCGTAACAAGAGGATTGAGTGTCAAAGGCAGCAGTGGAGTCTAAGAGCACTGGGATGGTGGAGACTCCTGAGTCAACAGTTAAAATCAAGTCATTAAAAACTCTTAAGTGCAGAATCTGTGCTGTGACGGGGTTTGAAGCCAGACTGGAACTTTTCCTAAACATTATTATTAATTAAAAATTTTTGCAGCTGGGTAAAAACTACTTTCTCCAGGACTTTAGATAAGAAAGACTGTTTAGAGATGGGCCTGAAGTTGAATATAACAAAGCTGATAGGAAGTCTCATTATTGTTTGAAATCCAGCCAATGATGGTGGTGTCGCCTCCATGTCGTGGATGCAGTCGTTGGTGGGGCCTGAGCACACAGCCTTGGGGGGGCTCCGGTGTTGAGCATTAGAGTGGAGAAGGTGTGTACGCCAATCCAAACTGTCTGGGGTCTGTTTGTGAGGAAGTCCAAATATCCAGTTGCAGAATGTGGTACTCAAGCTCAAAGTGTGAAGTCTGCTTAGTTTCATAGTAATAGTTGCTACAGTAACAGACATTAGGCTACAACAAAGAAATCTAGTTTATGAGAACGGAGTAGATGTGGTATGTAGCTCATAATGCACAATTACAAATCAAGGTATGTTAAAATATGAATGATTGTGTAGCATTTGTGAGAGAGAGAGAGGTTGCTATAGACTGAATGAAAAATGGTATTGATATTTATAGTAGTGTTAATGATTATTATAAAAATAATAATAAGACTAGTAACAAATTGTAGCAGAGGGTGTCGAGCAGGAACACGGGGGCAGCAGGTGACCCGCAACCACAGATCCAGACCCCACAGCTCCAGAGCCAGAAACACCTGCAGGAAGTGATAGGAGGAGAGAGGAGAGGGACGAGAAAGCACAAGACTACGGGAAAGGGGAGAAGTTGTGTTAGTAACATGCTTTAATGGGATAAGGTTGCATACAGAGGGAGAGAAAGTAGAGGAGAGAGGAGCTCAGTGCATCATAGGAAATCCCCCGGCAGTCTAGGCCTATAGCAGCATAACTAAGGGATGGTTCATCCCTAACTATAAGCTTTATCAAAGAGGAAAGTCGTAAGCCTACTCTTAAATGTGGAGATGGTGTCTGCCTCCTGAACCCAAACTGGAACCTGGTTCCACAGGAGAGGAGCTTGATAGCTGAACACTCTGGCTCCTAGTCTACTTTTGGAGACTCTAGGAACCACAAGTAACCCTGCATTCTGGGAGCGCAGTGCTCTGGTGGGGTAGTAAGATACTATGAGCTCTTTAAGATAAGATGGTGCCTGACCATTAAGAGCTTTGTAGGTAAGAAGAATGATTTTAAATTCTATTCTGGAAGCCAATGCAAAGAAGCTAAAACAGGAGAAATATGATCTCTCTTCCTGGTTCCTGTCAGAACACGTGCTGCAGCATTCTGGATCAGCTGAAGAGTCTTAAAGCCCCCCTCCAGCCAGTTTTAACTGCAGTTTTTGGTTAATGTTCTCACTACACTGTAAAGTTTAGTACACTTTACTGTCTGGCAGGTGTAGTACCCATGACAGAAACTAATGTGCGCGTGTCAGCTGTGCCGTGTCAATCATACAGTCGATTGTCCTGTCACGCACTGCACATGATGACTCCCACTACGTTTTATGGTGCGCTTACTTTACCGTGGGGGGGTGGGGGGTGCCTCTGCTGATGCATTGGTAAAACGGCCGTCAGTAAAATGCATGTTGCAGACTGTATATAAGACGGTGGCAGGTGCAAGTGCGACGTGTTTTCTGTCATCTAACACCGCACGCATTGACATAATGAAAATGAACACACTAAACCAAGAGGAGGAAACTAAAAAAATAAAATGAAGACCCTCTGTTAGCTACCTTTCTGCAATAACTATGCTAGCTAACTACACCTGGCTAACTTCAACTTAGTTAACTTGGCTAACTAAACTAGAAAGACAAACCAACAATCAGACACAGAGAGACATTAAGTAAATGTCTGATAATTGGTTAGCTAGCTCACAACGATGTTTATCGGTTTGATGCTCTGACTTAACGAGGCATGACGGTGCACCTGCGCAAGCTTGGAGAATGACGTACGACTTATGGAATTACTATAGTCATACGTCACCACCCCATTTTAATAACTAAGAAACTTTTGCAGCATTAAGCACAAAATTAAGCTATTTGTCAAAAAATATTTGGCGAACTATGTGGGTAATCAACATTGTAAGCAAATATGAAAGATCATAGAAGTGTCAAAATACATTGGAGGGGGGCTTTAATGGACTTTTTCGAGCAGCCTGATAATAGGAAACTGCAGTAATCCAGCCTAGAAGTAACAAATGCATGACTAGTTTTTCTGCATCATTTTTAGACAGGATGTTTCTGATTTTTGCAATATTACGAAGGTGAAAAAAGGCAGTCCTTGAAATTTGCTTTGTGTGAGACGACATGTCCTGATCAAAGATAACTCCAAGATTCCTCACAGTGGTGCTGAAGGCCAGGGCGATGCCATCAAGGGAAACTATATCTTTAGATAATGCGTCACGGAGGTGCTTAGGCCCCAGAACAATAACGTCAGTTTTATCTGAGTTTAACATTAGAAAATTACAGGTCATCCAGGTTTTAAAATCTTGAAGGCATATTTGAAGTTTAGCTAACTGATGTGTTTCATCTGGCTTGATCGATAGATATAACTGAGTATAATCTGCATAACAGTGAAAGTATGGAATGTTTCCTGATAATATTGCCTAAAGGAAGCATATAAAGTGAAGAGGATTGGTCCGAGCACAGATCCTTGTGGAACTCCATGACTAACTTTGGGGTGCATGAAGGACTCGTTAACATGTACAAACTGAAATTGATCTGATAAATAGGACTTAAACCTGCTTAGAGCGGTTCCTTTAATGCCAATGAAATGTTCCAGTCTTTTCAATAGGATCTGATGGTCACTGGTATCAAAAGCAGCGCTAAGATCCAGAAGCCCAGTACAGAGACAAGTCTTTTGTCTGATGCAATTAGGTCATTATTAATTTTCACCAGTGCTGTCTCTGTGCTATAATCTCTAAATGCTCACTGAAAATCCTCAAATAAACTATTGCTCTGTAGAAAGTCACACAGCTGTTTGGCGACTGCTTTCTCCAGAACCTTAGAGAGAAATGGAAGGTTAGATATAGGTCTATAGTCGGCTAAAACATCCGGATCAAGTTTGGGCTTTTTCAGAAGAGGTTTTATTACAGCTACTTTAAAGTACTGTGGTACATAGCCTGTTGATAAAGATAGATTGATCATATCTAGTATAGGTGCTGACTAAGGGTAAAACTTAGACCTCTTGGACCCCTTGTCTAAGAGGCAGGTTGATGATTTAGATGAAGAAATTATTGAAGTTAGTTGGTAAAGATTGAGGGAAGCAAAACAGTACATATATCTGGCTTTACAGTTGTTTCTAAGATTCCTGAGTTTGGAGATAAGTTGGTGCCAGTTGAGGGCAGGTCTTGGTGAATTTTGTTTCTAATAGTTAGAATTTTATCATTAAAGAAGCTCATGAAGTCGTAACTACTGAGAGCTATGGGAATACTTGGCTCAATAGAGCTGTGACTCTCTGTCAGCCTGGCTACAGTGCTGAAAAGAAACCTGGGGTTGTTCCTATTTTCCTCTATTAATGACGAGTAGTACGCTGCTCTGGCATTACGGAGGGCCTTCCTATAAGTTTTAAGACTATCTTGCCAAATTAAACGAGAATTTTCCAGTTTGGTGGAACGCCAATTCCTCTCAAGTTTCCGCGATATTTGCTTTAATTTGCAAGTTTCAGTACCATGGAGCTAACCGTCTTTGTTTTAGTATTTTCTCTTTTAGAGGGGCTACAGAGTCGAGTGTCATTCGGAGCAAGCCTGCAGCACTATCAACAAGATGATCGATTTGGGAGGGACTGAAATTAGCATAGGAGTCCTCCGTTACTTTGTGACTTGATAATGAATTTAGAGCTGATGGAATCGCATCCTTAAATCAGACAGACATCTTGTATAGAAATTTGTGCCCAATGGCATGAAGTTCAGCAATACAAACTCAAAAGTTATCAAACAGTGGTTGTATAAAGAGGGATTCTGTGGGAATACTATTAAATGTTCAATTTCAATACCGTATAACAAAACAAGGTCGAGGGTGTGGTTAAAACAGTGAGTCGGTTTATGAACACTCTGAGAGAAGCCAATGGAATCTAACAGAGAGATAAACGCAGTACTAAAGCTGTCATTCTCAACGTCCACATGAATATTAAAACGGACAAAGTTATTATTGTAGGGGATTTTAAGGACTAAAGTTGACAAAAATTCTGCAAATTCAGATAAGAATTCAGAGTACGGACCAGGTGCAGTGATTTCCAACTTGGGCGTGAAAGACTAAGAACAAGGCTTTCAAATGAGTTATAGTTTAGTTTAGGTTTAGAGCTGATTAGTAGGCTAGAGTCGAAGATAGCTGCAACTCCACCTCCTCGGCCTGTGCCTCGAGGAATGTGAAATCTTGTATTATATAATGAGTCCTTTTGGGATGAATCCACAGAATATAACTATGCATTTCCTCTCAGGTTTACAGAGCTTTTTAACCTCATTTAACTTTGGTTATATGACCGACTGATTTACTGCTTTTGTTTGGTTTCAGCACTCTCATCAACCTCATTTCCAGCAACTTGCTTCAGTGAAAAAGATCTGATGAATCCACTGTAAACTACTTCCCCTGCACCATAGAGCAGACATACAAAATTAAAAACTACGCCTAGGTGGTGAACATAGTGGAGCATTTACACTCACTGGTCACTTTATTAGGTGTACCTTACTAGTACCGGGTTGGACCACCTTTTGATTTCAGAAATGCCTTAATTCTTTGTGGCATATTTTCAACAAGATGTTGGAAACATTCCTCAGAGACTTTGGTCAATATTGACATGATAGCATCACGCAGTTGCTGCAGATTTGTCGACTGCACATCCATGATGCAAATCTCCCGCTCCACCACATCCCAAAGGTGCTCTACTGGATTGAGATCTGGTGACTGTGGAGGCCATTGGAGTACAGTAAAGTCATTACTATGTTCAAGAAACCAGTTTGAGATGATTTGAGCTTTGTGATTGAGCTACTTCCAGCTTTGCATTATCCTGCTGGAAGTAGCCATAAGAAGATGGGTACACTGTGGTCATAAAGGGATGTAATGTAAATGTAAATGCTCCGTACTAGTCTTTTCGACCACTCAAAGCGCTTTTACACTACATCTGCATTCACCAGTCATACACATTCATACACTGAGCCTAAGTGCTCAAACGGAAACTAGCATTCACACTCATTCATACACTGGGGCAAATCGGGGTTCAGTATCTTGCCCAAGGACACTTCGACACACAACCAGGGGGAGCCAGGGATTGAACCGCCGACCTTCCGATTAACGGCCAACCCGCTCTATCTCCTGAGCCACAGCCGCCCCATGTCATGGATGGACATGGTCAGCAACAATACTCGGCTAGGCTGTCGCATTTAAACGATTCTCAACTGGAACTAAGAGACCAAAGTGTGCCAAGAAAATATCCCCACACCATTTCTCCACCACCACCAGCCTGAACCATTGATACAAGCGGGATGGATCCATGCTTTCATGTTGTTTACGCCAAATTCTGACCCTACCATCTGAAAGTCGCATCTGAAATCAAGACTCATCAGACCAGGCAACATTTTATCGATCTTCTGTAGTTCAATTTTGGCAAGCCTATGCAAATTGTACCCTCAGTTTCCTGTTTTTAGCAGACAGGGGTGGCACCCGGTGTGGTCTTCTTCTGCTGAAGCCCATCTTCTTCGAGGTACGACGTGTTGTGCATTGGTATTCTGTATATCTTTGTCTGCCCATTCTCTTCTGACCTCTAACATCAACAAGGCATTTTCATCCACACAACTGCTGCTCACTGGATACTCTTTTTCAGACCATTCTCTGTAAACTCTAGAGATGGTTGTGTGTGAAAATCCCAGTAGATCAGCAGTTTCTGAAATACCAACCCGTCTGACACCAACAACCATGCCACGTTCAGAGTCACTTAAATCTCCTTTTTGTCCTCCTTTTAAACTTCAACAAGTTGTCTTGACCACGTCTACACGCATAAATGCATTGAGTTGCTGCCATATGATTAGCTGACTAGCTATATGTGTTAACAAGCAATTGAACAGGTTTACCTAATCAAGTGGCCAGTGAGCGTATATTTTAGTGACCAACTTTCTGCCAAATGGAAAATGTGCTTATTTGCTAACTGCTTACAGCTACTAATATTCCCATCCCAGGTTTGTCAGAGGAGAACAAAGTCCAAACACCAGCCTTCACTGATGCAGTACGACTCTACCGCCAAGCCCAAGGGCAGTATGGCACTTGGGAGATGATGTGTGGTGTACCATCACAGGTAAGCATGGCAGTAGTAACACAAGTAGGAATGATATATTCCATATTGTAGCGTGTAAATCAGAAATCTGACTGCATGCTTCCTGTAAACAGGTCAGGTTATATCAGCGCATGTAAATACATTTTTGAAATTCCTCAATTTGATTTCTCTCACTAAACTGATTTGTGTGTATGTAAACTTGGTGAAACCAGTGTTTCCCACACATAGACTGGACAAACTAAATGTTCTCCAGCCTCTGTTGTTCTTTACCTGCGACTTGCATTGCGCAGGGTGTGGCTTGCGCTGGGGGCGAGACCCGTTAATAACTTCTTGCAGGTCTAGTTTTAGAATTGTTTTCTAAACTGCCTATACCCCCCTTATTATATAAATATACTTTGCTATTGAGCTATTGTTTTCAAAATATTATAGTATTTTTAATATACCTTATCTTATTCCTGTCTGGTAATTTATCTAGCTATCGTGACATGAAATCTTATATACTGCAGTAGAAGATTTTTAAAGATTTCACTCGTGGTTATATTGAATGTTGTGTCAGCTGCTGTGTTCAATCCAGGGTGCTGCATAGCTGGAATTCTGTAACTCTGTGTTTCACAGAGTAATGTGTAATGTGCAATGTAAATGCTCCTGTATAGCACCTTTCTAGTCTTTTCGACCACTCAAAGCGCTTTTACACTACATCTGCATTCACCAGTCATACACATTTATACACTGAGCCTAATTGCTCAGAAGGAAACCAACATTCACACTCACTCATACACTGGCGGAACAGCCGCCAGGAGCAAATCGGGGTTCAGTATCTTGCCCAAGGACACTTCGACACGCAACTGGGGGAGCAAGGGATTGAACCGCCGACCTTCCGATTAACTCGCTCTACCTGCTGAGCCACGGCAACGCAATTTATGACTGCTTATAAACTGCTGTAAGTCAACACATCCCGCAGACTCTCAAACCAGTTTAACGGCAACTAAATAAAACTGTAACGTTACATGATCAACAATAAATCTGTAATCTGTTTGCAGCCAATGTTAATAATTAACATGATGGCAGTCAGCGGGACGTAAATGATTACGTTAATCGACTACCACAAGTTTGGCAAACAAACGCTTATTCATCTTTTAATAACAAACGACAGTCGGAGTAGCTAAAGCAAGAAGCAAGCTAAAGTTAGATGGCCAATGCTGAACTAAACATGTTTACTAACCTCAGGTTACTAACCTATTTTGCGTTCAGCGCTTCTTTGTTTGGGCCTTGTTGTATGAAGTTTTAAAGCCAAAGTTTATGATGGATGGAACAGCAGCTGCCGCTGTTTGTTGTCCTCTCTCACGTGTGGCCACTACGTGTTGCGTAGGCAGGTTCTAGGTAACGCAGGGAGGGGAATAACAACAAGCTCACCAGAGGTTTCCTGAAAATAAACCTTGTTCACGAGTCCCGCACCTCGAGTCCGAGTCAAGTCTCAAGTCTAATGAGGATGAGTCTCAAGTCAATTCTGAAGTCACTGTCTGTGCGACTTAAGTCATACTTGAGTCTGAGTCTCAAACTCGAGTCCCCATCTCTGCTATCACTCACCACACCATATATTTTAAAGAGGTTCACTGTTTTGCAATATTCCTGGTCTAATCCAATTTTTTTTTTTTTGTCAAAGGTTTGAGCTTGTGGCGGGGGGAACACACAAACATTAAAAAAAAACTAAAAGACACAGCCAGCTAAAGAACAGCAATAAACAGGTGACATAAGAAAACAACTGAGGGAGAATGAAAAGCAGAAACGGTGAAACAAAATAAATGAACAACACAGCACAGCCATGAGAACTAGAAGAATAATAATAATACATTTAAATAAATTACTTAATGAAAAGCATAAAGAATAGTTCACATACCTGTGACAACCATGGACAACCTAAATTTGTGTGTGTGTGTGTGTGTGTGCATAAGCCTGTCACAGAATGTAGTTTTTAGTGAGCGTGGGATGCCACAACAGCACTGCACAGATCCCAGCAACAGGCAGGCAAGAACCCCAGTAGCCAGGGCACCTCCGAAAGCGAAAAGGACCGGAGACCACACATCCCGGGGACAGCCATGGTCTGCCCCAGGGGAGAACAACAGAGAGTCGTGCTGGGGAGCACCACACACATACACACCAGCCTCCCCTCAAAGGAAAGGGACAGCAGCCACCCCACGACAGCAGCAACAGCCCCTCAGCCCCAAGAGGCTATTCACTAAGTGATAGAGTTGATCAGGGGGGACCAGAGAGACTGGAATTTTGTCAATTTGTGTACCTTAGCCATATCGATAGGTCTTCACATATCTTCTGCCAGAACTTTTGGACATTGCCACATAGCATACATGTAACTATCAGAGATGTTACCTGAGCAGTTAAGGCAGATGTTTGCCTAAGGCCCATTCTGTACGTTCCTGTCCTGTATAGTGTGTTCTATGGAGAGTTTTATACTGTAGGAGTTGTAGATTGGGATTTAAACATATTTGTATCCAGAGGTTTTGGTCTGGACTAATGAATAGATCTGTCTCCCACTTTAAGAATAGGAAAGAGACTGAACCATCTGTTAACATGTTTATCTTTGATAATTTTGGGGATATCAGGATTGTTCCAGATTGGAGTAAGTCTGCATGGGATAGTTGATGACCTAGATATTTTGAGAAATTCCCACTAGGCTGTCAGGGAAGTGCTTATGTTAATGCTTTTAAAGCAGGTATGATGTTTGATACTGGAGCTGATGAATGGCATATCGGAAATTTGTATTTCCTTGCAGAATGTTTATGTCCGTCCATGAGTGGTCCAGTGGGCTGTGATTCATAAATTTTTAGATATATTGTAGTCTGTTGGACAGGAAGTAATTAGCGAAATTTGGCAGTTCTAAACCACCACAATCTTTTGGTTTTTGCAGAGTTTTTAAACTGATTCGAAGGGGTTTATTTTTCCACAAAAATTTAGAGAGGTTTGAGTCCAGTGACTTAAACCAGACAGCATAGGGTTGGGTGGGTAACATTAAAATCACAATCATGAGAATATCCTATCGTGGGGCCTCTCATGATTCCCACCACAACCTGTTTTCAAACAAATTGCGATATATTGCAATTTATTATCTTTTTTCCAACTTCAAATTGTGTCCCCAAAGGAAAACTCTTTTTCTCGTGGACTGATAAAGCAATTGATTTTATTATTATAGTACCAAAAAGTAAAATTCTCACGTACAATTTATATAATAAAAGATCGATACTTGACCTCCGTGTATCGATACAATATTGCTACGGAAAATCTCGCGATACTATGCTTTATCGATTCTTTTTCCCCCACCCCTAAAAACTGTAGTTGATTTTAGGTAGGACCATAATTTTTGTGGTGGCGATTCTTCCCATGAGTGATATGGGCAATATTGTCCATTGCATGATGTCATCCTCTACTGATTTAATTAAAAGCGTGTATTTTAGCCATACTCTGGAAATCACACATCACAGGTAAAACAAAGGATTTATTCCAATTAATGGAGTAGTCTGAGATGGATGAGAATTTGTCTAAGTGTGATTGTCTGAATTAAAAATACATCTTACTGAAGGTGTGCTGAACCATAGTGCTCGAGCTACTGGATACAGTCTAGTTATACCAATGTATTTAAACGCTTGTATGTGGAGATGTTTGTGATTGTATTCCCTTGAGTGTGTGTGTCTTGTTTTCTTTGTAGATCCTGTCCAACCTGGTGATGGAGGGCCTACTCCCTGAGCTGAGGGAGCTCATCTCCCCCCGCTTGAAAGGCAAACTACACGAGAGGCAGAGGAACTGGATGTTGGTAAGATACTACACCACACACATTCCACTTTTGAGAAATAAATAAAAATATGTAAGGTTACAAGGTAGATTTGTCATTTTACAACACAGGGTTGTACAAGTTGTAGTTCCCTTTATGCTACTCACAAAAAGCAAACATTAATACAGAAATTATAAAATGTTTAGGGTTGACCCCGATTAGTCGAAGATTCGATTATTCGGTAGGAGGAGCCTGACACCCAATCTCACAGTCGAGTCTTTAAATTATCTTAAAATATCAATATATAATTTTGTAAATAAACATGTGAAAAGAAAGAAGCTTTCAATAAATCTTTCTAAAGTGTGTGTGTGTGTGTGTGTGTGTGTGTGTGTGTGTGTGAGAATAAATCCAAAATGGTAATTAAGGTAGGGGTCGTCTCTGTGTGTGTGTGCGCGTGTGTGGGGGGGAGAGACAGAGCACCAGCTGCGACAGTATTGTGCAGGGTTGTGTGTGAACTCTGCAGGACTTTCGGATCATTTATTACCATTGATGAACCACCCAAAGAATATTAAAATGGTTTTCAAACGGTATGTGGAATTGACCTGCAAGGAACCGCAACGTGCATGCAGTTTTCGGCAAGTCTGCAGAAATTAAGGCAGATGGGGGAAGGAGCTGCTCTGCAGTCTGGTATCATAGCAGACACTTGTGTATTTCTGTGGGTACTGTCCTTTAGTATCCTTTGGGCTCTGAAGGCACTTCACTGATATCACTGATGCTCAGGAGATGGGTACCAATGATCTTCTGAGCGGTTTTAATCCCCCGCTGCAGAGCCCTCCGATCCTGGGCCGTGCACATCCCATGTTAGTGATGTTTCCAGTCAGGATGCTTTCTATTGCTCCTCTGTAAGAGTTGACAAGAACTTGGCGTGGGAATTTGGCCTTAAGTTTCTGAGCTTTCTTCACCAGCGTGGAGATGTGAGATGACCATGTCAGGTTCTCTGTGATGCTGATTCCCAGGAACCTAAAACTGATGTCTGTTTCTTTGTCTCTTGGCGGGCTCCGGTGTTGATTGAACACTAGAGTGGAGGAGGTGTGTGCGCCAATCCTTTGTTTGGGAGGAAGTCCAATATCCAGTTGCAGACTGTTGTATTTTATCCCAAAGTTCTGTCTTTGTTGATCAGTTTAATGTGGGAGATTGTGTTGAGTGCTGAGCTGAAATCCACAAACAGCATTCTGATGTAGGTGTTGATTTTCATTGTGTGAGGGCTGAGTGGAGGGCAGTGGAGATTAGTGATAGGCCAATTAATCTTGCTGATATCTGGCATTTGGAGATTATGGGCATGACAGAAGATCTAATCTAAAACCATTATTGGCTAGCGTTAAATATATATTGTTATACTGTTGCAGTTCAATGGCATCACTTCTGACAAACTGTACCCCACTCTCCCTTAAACACCAGTCCCATTCTGAAATATACAGCAGTATATTTGTTGTTCTGTTTCATTCATTAATAAAACTTCTAAATCAACACTTTACTGGCTGTTATAACTATGTACTGTATATTAGATTGTACATCGAATAATGGAATTATAAATGACTTTGTTTTGAGATCGGCATTATATATCAGCCATCAGCCACCCTGCTTTCTAAATATCGGCATCAGCTGTTGAAAACCCATATCGGTCAACAACTAGTGGAGATGGCATCATCTGTGAATCTGTTGGTTCTGAAAGCAAACTGGTGAGGGTTCAGTCTGGCTGGGATGTTCTTCTTTTTGTGCTGGAGAACCAGTTTCTATAAACTCTTCATTAAAATGGGGGTAAGAGCGACAGTCATCTCACCAAAAAGCAGCTATTTGCTCTGATGGTCTGATAGACCAAAAACGGGGGCGGGGGAGGGTTTTGTAGCTGCCAGGAATATTCATGTAAACATGGTCCAGGAGATTGCCTCCCCTGGTGAGAATGTGGGCGTACTGGTGGAATTTAGGATGAAATGATTCTGAAGTCTGATTAAAATCACCAGCAACAATGAAAACACTGTCCGGTTGTTTTGTTATGTGACTGCTGATGACCTCAAACAGTTCCTGTAAACTGTCCTGTCCACTCCGCGTTTGAGCACCAAGCTCTTTCTCTGGTCTTACCGGAGTCTTGTGTCCTGTCAGCACAGAACACACTCCACCCGTTGAGTGTAATAGCTTGATCCAGGATGTTGTGGTGCAGCCAGGTCTCTGTAAAGATGAGGGCACAGCAGTCTGATTTCCCATTGCTGAGTTAGCCTGAGTCTTATTTCATCCATTTTATTTTCTTGCAACTGGGCATTGGCCGGGAGCAGGCTGGGAAATGGAACAGCTTTAGGTCCAATCAGGGTTAGCTTAGCTCTTATCCCAGCTCGGTTTCCTCTCTTCCTGGTTCGATCACACGACCTGCGGTGACGTTTGTTACAGCTGGTCTGGTTGTCAAGACGTGAGATGCCATGACCAGTGATCGTCCCAGTTCTGCTGCACTGTCTGATCCCTGCACTGCCTTTTCTGAAGTTGATGAGTGTATTTCTGTCATAAGTACTGTATTTTTAATTTTAAAAAGTATCTTACTCGTGTTAACACCCAGTTAATTTCACCCAATCAAAAATCCCTTCTATCGCTGTTGTAAACTGCAGAGACAGCCAGGAGGATGAGGCTAGTATGTCCCACTCAAAACCAAAATGCCAAGTACAGCAGGGGTGTATATGTGGTTCACTTAAACTGAGCAACTGAAACGAACAGGAGAGTCTGCCTTTTAAATTTTAAGTTTCCTGTGTAACTAGATTTGTGACGCCGTATACAGCCTGGTGCATGGCCAGTGTCAGGCCCAGTATGAGATGGTCTTGCAGAAGTGTGCGGCGACCCACTCCTCTCTGGAGGCCTCCATACGAACAGATATGGACCAGATCATCACCTCCAAGGAGCATGTCACCAACAAGATCAGAGGTTAGTGAGAGAAGGCATTTTGATCTACTGATCTTTTTTTTTTTTTATACCTTCTTTTTTAACTTGTATGCATGGTCTGAATTGTTAAATTATTCTTTACTGCTAAATGAAATGTCTGGAGTGAGCCACGAAAGTGAATACGGACTAATTATAGGCTCTGACTGGCATGCTGTTATGTGCTGACAGGAGTTGTAAAAGGGTTCAGAGCTAAACAACTGGCCAGACAGAGCTCCTGTCTGTGCTTAATGTGTAGGACTAGCTTTAATTTTTAAGCGCTTGTATGTCCTTAAATTGCCAGATTAAAACGATAACAAAATAAACAGTTTATGTTAAAGCAGGAGACAAATGCACTGATGAAATCTGTAATTAAATAAAAGGTACAGGTTTTAAAGCCTAGTTTTGGAGTTCCATTTTCATTTAAATATTAAATATTATAATTTTAATAATTAGCTTTTTATGTTGCATTTATTAATGTGGTGTTTAAATGCAAAATGAATTAGCCAACTTGCTATTGCTTCTTTAAATGCATGATATTATTGAATATTATTAAATATATATTCCAGTGGCACTCTTCAAACTCCATTTTGATAATCCTTTCATGAAGAACTACAAATACTGATGCATAATGATATTTTCCTGTAAATATAAGTAATCTTGCTAAAATATCCATGACTTCTGACATTTCTGCATCAGAGAGTATTAGCTAATCATTTTAATCACCACTGCAAATTCTAGCAAATGTCACCAAATATCAGCTGCCACCGTCATCAGAAACGTTCGTCGCTTCACATGACTCTCATGTGTCGAAAAAACATATTTCCTCATTCTTTCTCTCCCCACATGCGTCTTTTCATTGCGTCTTAGTCCCGCCCACCCAGGATGCATGGAAAGACGCAAGGAAAGGTGCAAGTGAGGGAAATGTGGATGCAATTAAGAAACATCAAGGTTCTACTCGAGGTTTCTGCCTCTTAAAAGGGAGTTCTTCCTTGCCTGTGTCGCCTAGTGCTTGCTCATGGTGGAAATTGAGAGTATGGTCTAGACCTGCTGCGGTTATGAATGAAAACATGTTACGCAGGTAACGTGACTGCAATTACAACTTGCATATATATTTTATTGCTGCTAATAATAATAATAATAACTTTGATTTATATAGTGCCTTTCACAAACCCAAGGACGCTTAACAAACCAAAAAAGGGGGGGGGGGTGAGGCCAGGGGAGACTAAAGCCCATAGCCCTCAGTGAAGAGGTGTGTTTTAAGATGGGTTTTAAAGGTTATTATAGAGGAGGCAGAGCGGATGGCAAGAGGAAGCTTGTTCCAGAGTGATGGTGCTCCGACACAGAAAGCTCTGTAACCAAATGTCCTGAGCCTGGGATTAGGGACAGCAAGCAGGGGCTGTGACTGAGTTTAGGGATTGAGTAGATCTGTGAGGTACTGAGGTGCAAGTCCATGGCGAGATTTGTACGTCAGTAGGTGGATTTTATATTTGATCTGGGACTTATCTGGCAGCCAGTGAAGCTTATGACCTTTTAATGGTAATTTGCTACTGCATGTGCTTTTTCTTTTTTCAAAAGTGACTTTCTTTAGTTTAGAGATGATATCATCAGCCGATTCTATTTTTATGTCTTTTGTAAGAACTATAATTGACAGCATACACAAAGGTCTGGTGTCTATTCAGTCGTTCATAATAAAAAAACTCACTTAACTAACCCTGCCTATATTTATGACAGACATCCAAAAGGCCTTTAATTCATTTTTCCATGCTGGTAAATCTGAATGAATAATATTTTGGTGCTCATTGTCCTCATAAAATGAACTAAACGACTGTGGAGAATCTAACCGATCTAATGATGTGTAGCATGTCCATATTGCCAAAAGTTTAAACATTTTATATTTGTATGCACAATCTAAGCAGCTTAGAACCAGCTCAAGCATCCAAAGAACTTCGAGAAAGCTAGACCAGGCTTCAGATTGAGACTTTATTTTTTAAAACGTGTACCGACACCAGGCCAGTACAAGGGACAGGCTTGTAATTGGGACAAGGCTTTTAATTGAAGTTTCACGGTAAATAACTTTTTAACTTGTAACTTGTAGCAGGTGACAGGACCTTCTTTCACTCTCATCCAAACAAATCTCAAAATAAAACCATACTCCTGGTTAAGCTACTGGACAGAGCTTTTTGTACAAACAAAATCCAACGAGGCTCAGTGTTTCTCACAGAACGACAGCTTTGTTGGGGCTGGGGTAATATATTTTTAGAAAATATTTGAAAGAATACATTACCCTTTTCCTAGTAGATTATTTCTCTGGAAGTCTCCACCTAATGTTAGTGTTGACTCTCAAACTGCTTTCATCTGCTCAATTTGCTCTGAAACTATGACCTTACATGTTTAGCCCCTCTCTTGTGTACCTCGTCCCCCCACAGCGGTTGTTCTCCCCAAGGCTGAGAAGCTGCTGATGGTAAGTATCCAGCCTTACATCGGCTCCATTCTTGACGCCTTGATGGAGCCCACCAGCCGAGGCTTCTCTGAGGTCCGCAATGTGTTCTTCAGGGAGCTGGTGGACATGAGTAAGAACACCGTCAATGAGGGAACCAAAGAGGCCGTGGCACAGGTGAGGAGGTTGAGGAGGAGATTAAGCATAAGCTCCTAGTGTGGGCTGTCCTTGCTGTGATGGCAACATGATTCATATGAAGGTGATCACACCTTTCAAGAGAGAATAATATTACACACTGTAATTTGAAGTCCATGTAACTATGAAATCCAAACCGGTAAATTATCCAGTATGGTTTGTGAAACAAAAGTGAAAATACAATAAATATTATATATAAAAACGTTATATACACGTTTCGTACAATTCTCCCCCCGTCCTTCCCTTCTCCTCTTCAGCACATGGAGAAGATCTCTATGCTGGCCTTCCATCCAATAAAGATGCAGAGCTGCTATGAGAAGGTGGAGCAGCTGAGTCTGGAGGGTCTGCAGCAGAGGTTTGACGTCTGTAGCCCGTCCGTGTTTGTCCAAAGGGCCCAGATCCTCATGAGAGAGGTAAGCTCCAGTACTGCAAGTACTTGCTATAGCCACGTGTTCCACCAAAAGCACCCGGGACTTTTGGTCCTAGGATCTACTTTTCAAGGTACTAAAAGGTTCCTTCAGCCCATTGTTGTGTGCGTTTCCATCATCAGTTACCACGATCCATGAACAAAATGTAGGATATTTGAACATCAGATTTGACTAGAATATAATGAAAAACTACAGGCTTTGCTTGACCACTGAAAATAGATTTTTTCTTTTTCGTGTGTGTGAAAAATAATGAAGAAAACACGATAAAGTTTGTTACAAATTTAATAACAAACTGGATAAAGCCAGCAAGTTGTTAAAGAGGTGGTATTGTGCTTTTTGGCTTTTCTCCTCTCCTTTATTGAGTTATATCTTTTTTGTGCATGTAACAGGTTTGCAAAGTGAAAAAGCCCAAAGTCCAGCCCAAAGGGAGTTCCCATCTCCCACAGAAAACTCTGCTCTGAACCGCTTGAACACAGCTCGTTTGTAGTCCAGCCTTTACTTCCCTTTCATCCTTATGACGACACAGGGAAGAAGGCTAAATGCGACTCATAATGCTCGCTGAGCGGCTAGTCCGACACGCCCTCAAAAACAGCGGTGGAAACACAATGAGCTGCAGCACACAGCTCTCCTCTCCCTTCCAAACACTAGCTCCCCTCCAGGCAGTCAGTGGACAGGAAGTTGTTACTGTGATGTAGAGACAGAGCTCAGTTAAAACTTTATGGATGAAAGATACTTTTGTTACAGATTAATAACTCACCACTCTGAAACTCTTGCTACAGTCCATGTTGCCAAGCTGGTCGGCAACATGTACAGCTGAACTGAAGCTGTTTACCGGCGTCTCACTGTCCCGCCCTTCTCTGCTTCTGATTGGCTAGTAGTCCTTAACTAGGAACTGTGCATGTGCAACTCCCAACAAAGATCATTTAGAGACAATATGTATCACTTCATAGCTAAAAAGAAGCCTTCAACACAGGGTGAAAAGAGGAGCTGCAGCAATGTGCAGTATGGAGCATGCAGATTATTTTTTTATTGTGTTTTCTGAAAATGAAACCATGTAAACCTGTTCTGGTACAACCCCTAAATAGGATTTTGAACCTGAAAATGAGCATAATACCACCACTTTAAAAGAACTCCAGCACAGAGAAAGAAACACATTCATAAAATCGCAAGAGATCAGCTGCAGCACTCACGTTTGGGACCACCTGAGTTTTGGAGGAACATGATTTTTAACAAGCTTTATTACCTCCTGTAATCAGCTGGCCCAGTTTGTTTTTGAGATGAGGAGACAGACTTCGGCTTTGTGTAAAAACTTCCTGACTGAACTTAAAACAACTCCAGACCCAGTATATAGCGTAACTCCATCAGCTGTTCGCTGGTAACGCATAGTTGCACGCTGGCTGCTGTTTCCGAGCAATACATTTAATGACGACATACGATCTCATGCCAACATTGGTGAGACCCGTGTGGCTCTCTGACTGTTGAATGTGATTTATTGGTTTGCAAACAATGGTGGAAAAAAGAGGAGCAGTTGTAGAGGATATATATATATATATATATATATATATATATATATATATATATATATATATATATATATATATATATATATCTCAAAAAATAAAGGGAACAATAAAATAAATCCTAGATCAGAATGAATGAAATAATCTCATTAAATACTCTCTTTCTTTACATAGTTGAATGTGCTGACAACAACATCACACAAAAATTATCAATGGAAATCAAATTTATCAACACATGGAGGTCTGGATTTGGAGTCACACTCAAAATCAAGGTGGAAAACCACACTACAGGCCGATCCAACTTTGATGTAACGTCCTTAAAACAAGTCAAAATTAGGCTCAGTAGTGTGTGTGGCAGTCTGTGGTGCAACGTGGCGTTGGTGGATGGAGCGAGACATGATGTCCCAGATGTGCTCAATTGGATTCAGGTCTGGGGAACGGGCGGGCCGGTCCATAGCATCAATGCCTTCCTCTGAGTGTTGCTTCCTAAGTGGACAGTTTGATTTCACAGGAGTGTGACTGACTTGGAGTTACATTGTGTTGTTTAAGTGTTCCTTTTATTTTTTTGAGCAGTGTATATACACAGTGAATGGGATGGTGCAACTCTTATTATGGACTCTCTGAGACCATGCAATATGTAGCAGTAAAGTATATTGTATTATTAACTTGTGTATATATTTATGCTAACGTATAAAGATTTTCTTGGTTAGTTTATATCAGGAATGATCTTTTACTCAAGTAAAAGTATTAATGCCACACTAAAACTGGTTGTGGGAGACCTGGGTTAGATTACCACTGTGACACATACACCAAAGTGTCCCTGAGAAAGATACTTACCACCAAGTTGCTCCAGAGGCGCGCAACCTCTGACATACAGTGGGAAGTATTTGATTGGTTCGTAGGTGGAATTTTGTTTTAGATTCCGTCTCACAGTTGAAGTGTACCTATGATACAAATTACAGACCTCAACATGCTTTGTAAGTAGGAAAACCTGCAAAATCAGCAGTGTATCAAATACTTGTTCTCCCCATTGTATATAGAAATTTTAAATCACTTTGGATTAAAATGTCCGCTGAGTTAATAATTTATAATCAATAAAAGTACTCAATGTACAAAATTGGCCCATGTCTCATTTACTCATGAATGAACTGAACATTTCCTAGCATTAGGCAGCCATCTACCTTGTTTCGTTAACTGAACACTTTATCTGTATTTGACATCAATACATTTGTGAATTTGTCTGATTAGATTGAATGCTGGAAATGTGTTCAGTTCAATTCCGATGTTCACTATGACCAGAACGACAGTCTGGTCACCTTCAATTTCCTGTAAAATACATAGGATCCATATTGTGGAACAATGTTAAACAGCTCCCAGGGCAGTCCCGGTCAGTGTTGAACACTTTTATATTGGAGTCATTTGTTTATTCTCTTGTGATTTTTGTGACTCTTGTGTTCTTATGACTTTTCTTAGCTGTGTTTTTATGTTTGAAAGTAATAACTCTTTACATTTTTGAATACAAGTACATTTTTATTAACTTTATTATTGTTAGATTTTTCAAATCGCAACTGGGGGAGACCCATGATAAGCATTTTAGATTTTTGGCCTGCCTTAATATATTCTGTTATCACTTTGTAAATGTTCTATTTTTATGAGCTATTAATTAAACAAAAAATAAAATAAATAAATATAAATAAAAAAGAATTATCCATAGATCCACAGATTAGTTTGCTAAACTCAGTTTGTCCATCCTTTCCTCATGTAAAAATGAAATGCATTGTTTGTTCAAGTAACCTATGATGTATAACATGACATATTCTTAATACTTAACCATAGTATTTTAGTAATCTAAATATGGATGTTAAACTGGTGTGTAAGTTGAACTTTTACTTAGGACCTGTTAGTGTAGCCTTAGTTAGAGTTAGCATAATGTCATGTACATGGCAACAAAATGGATATTGGATGGATAAGGCCAATTTGCACGTTTCGCAGCAGTCGCTGGCTAAAATTGAAAGGCTGCTTTTGTCAGCTTTACTAAGAATTGTGATGGCAAACCATTGTAAACTGCAAATGTGCTGTACATGCAAAATAGAAAGCTTTTACAGGGCTAACAGAAACTAAAGGGGATGGGGCTTAATTGGACTTGGTTGAAGATATAGATATAAGATGTTACCTACAAAATACTTGATATGTTTAGTTTTTCTGCAGTAGCAGATGGCTATAGGTTGACCAGTGAGTGGATCAAATCTAGCTGACGAAGAGGTCAGTATTTGAGTTTTGCTGCCACAGGGAATCACTGAGTTACTAACTACTGAATTAAGCCTTATAATGCTGCAAAAGCTTGGTGGATTATTTTGAATTCATTCGTTGCCCTTGGTTGAACATGTTCCCCCATCTGTTGTGGGACAGATATACTGTCCCTTCCTTTTGCTCAGAGTTTGTGGAGGGATTGGTCGAGGTTCAGCTTGTGCTGCTGCACCGCCCTCTAACGGTGTGAAGTTTAAATATGTGTGTGTTCAGGTACATCATTGGACAGATACAGCAGGGGGCAGTGCATTATTATTATATTTTAACCTTTGAATACATGTAGATTTCACCAGACATTTTTACATACATCAGTTAGTCACCATTTCCATATGTTACAAAGTTTGGACTGCAAATGATATTGCTTGCAAACCTTTTAGAACATACTACCAAAAACATATTCTTGCCATTTATTACTTTTTTTCTATTACTTATCAATGCCAAAATATGGTAAAACATAGTCATATTTTAACGCTGTCCCTATAATAACACATTGGCCTCTCTCTCTGAATGGGTGCTTGTCCACAGCAAATGGACGATGCAGTGTATACATTTGAGCAGATGCTTCACCAGAGTCTGGAGTCTCAGGGTACAGAGGAGCTCTGTAAGGCCATCCAGCGCTGCCAGGACAGAGTCATTAAGGTGAAACACACACACACGGAAGATGCTATTAGATATAGACTGTGGCTGTGTCTATATAGTGCACTATATTTACCCTTGGAACAAAGAAAATGGTGTGTATACTGCTCACTATAGAGGACACCATTGTGTCTGGTATATAAAGAAAAGTGAAAGAGGCAGTTTTATCTCATTTTTTTATATACTTTGCAGTGGAAAAAGTTCCAACACTACAATATAAACATACTCCAGTACAAGTAAAGGTCCTGCATTCAGAATCCTACTTGAGTAAAAGTATAGAAGTATTATCAGCTAAATGTACTTTGGGTGTTAAAAGTAAAAGTACACATGGTTGACATTTTTGCAAAAATGATAGTTGTGGTGAGAAAGAAGGGGGGAAAAAACACTAATTAAATAAATTTTTTATGTATTTTATATGAAACATTTTTTGTGTTTGTTTTTTTTAATGTAAGATGAATCTGAATGTCTGAAATGTAGTGGAGTAGAAGTAAAAAGATGCATTAAATGAAAATACTCAAGTATCTCAAAATTGTGCTTAAATACGGTACCGGAGTAATTGACTTTTCACTACTGATGATGTCAACTCTCTGGTGTCAACAGTTGTATCGTGAGAGGACATGTTGCCTTTTAAATTTAGTTTTGAAAGGAAGCAGTTCACTGAGGAAAAATTTAATCTCTAAAGTCCTACGGTGGTATTAATGCTTTTTCTTTTTGTTCTTTTGTTTGTTGTCAGAAATTTGATTATGACAGCAGCACAGTGAGGAAGCGATTCTTCCGTGAGGCTCTCCTCCAGATCTTCATCCCTTACATGCTGAAGCAGCTGAGCCCGTCCTGTGCCTCAGTGAGTCTCGAAGCATTTTTTCACCAACAACCTGGACTGTCATTTACTGGCAATGCGGTTTATGTATTGTGTTGTGCAGTGTCATCTAGTTCCAGATGAAGAAGACACAACATAGCGTGATAGTAATAATAAGAATAATACTTTTGAGCCAAGTCACATCCTGAAATGAGAATATTTAGACAAAAATAAATAAATGTTAGCTTCAGCAGTTGAACGGTTTTGACTGTGAACGCAGGAGCTGCCACGCTTCCAGGAGCTAATCTTTGAGGACTTTTCCTCCTTCATCCTGGTGGAGAACATCTTTGAGGAGGTGGTGCTGCACTCGGTCATGAAGGACATCACAATGGGTCAGTCTTCTGCAGTGTTACTCTTCCTGTTTGTTTTTACACTCACAAAACATTTCTCTTTTTATCTTAACTTTTTAAAATCTTTTCCAAAGTAGATATCGGCCCACATACACTAAACAAAAACTTGCTAGTCTTAAACATAACAAACATACAAAACTACGGAAGCAGAGCTTGGTTACCTTTTGTTATTTTGTTATCTCTATCTCGGGATGACATGAGAAATATTTTCAGAAAACAAAAGCTTGTTGGCAGTGTGTGTTATTGATTCAACTGATACTGTCAGCAGCCTCAACACGGTTTCTACTCACAAAGGTTCCCTGCCGGTTGTATCAGGGCAGGGTTTCCCTTCTAAAAGTTTCATCCTGAGCGAACACCCAAGGCTTATCTTATAGGATAGGATAAACTTTAAGAGCCTTAGTAGGTATCACAGAGTCTACACAGAAAGTGATGACGCTGTTAGAACCTGATCGTTGATATAATGGCTATTAAAGACCTCTATAATGTGCATTATTTGCTTCTTTGTCCACTTGTTCCCAGTAATGTAATTGTTAGTGTGCCTCCTGAAAATAACTATATAATCTGGTTGTAATTGTAGTCTAAATAGAACAAGCACTCAGAAATGCTGCACACAAAAGGTACGTATGTTTGAGTTTTCAAGAAAATATATTTGAATATATTTGTTGTTACATTGTTGCAGTAGTTATAGAGCAATAGTTGAAATCTTTGACTAGACAACAACTAACATCTGAGAACCACTTAAAGGGCTTTCACACCTACTTTGTGTGAAACCTCCCCTGGATCAAACACACGAAATTTGGTCTCTGTCCAGATTAAACTGAACCATGGATGGTTTGGACTTTCAGACCATTTACTGGAAGTTCCTGTGGTTGCTGTGTAAACTGGAAACAAACAAATGCACGGAGAAATGCACTGAAATAAGGATACAATTGTAAATCGGCCGTGACAGCTCAACTTTTGAGACAGACGGCCACAAAGGAAGCAAACTACCACTCACCTCTTTGGTCTCTCCTCAAACGGAGGTGCCGAAGGATTGCTTGCAGTCTTCTCCCCTTTCCTGCAGGCGACGATATAATGTTCACACAACAAGGCCAACAAGACTAATGTGAACTAGCCTCGAGTTTAGTTGGTGCTGCAGGTAGCAATGCCATAATAACAATATAGTGGCAACGATATGCTGTCCGTGGAACTGCTTACAAACGAATCAATGTCAAGTATACAAAGACGCACATAGATGACGACAGGATGCAAGTATGTCATGCAAAGTTCTTTAGTGTGCTTGCATAATTGCGATGTGAAACCAAACCAAAACTAACTGAACGTTTCAAAATGTATTAAAATATGAACTTTGGTTTGGACCTTGGTGCAGACTTTCAGGTGTGAAAGGGTCTTTAATCTTCAGTGAACATGCATTTATGATTGGATTTGTATTTTGTTTGCTTTATTTTTATAATTTATAACACCACATGAAGACAAATTATACATTTGTGCATGTTCACCTGACTCTAGATTATTCAAGAAATAATGGAAATTAAATAATTATGTGTACCAATTCAACACTGTATTAAACTGAAGTTAATTAAATATAGGTTCCTTTCCAGGATCTTTGTGGGGAACTACAGGACCCCACATTTTGAAACTTTATACTGTATTGTTAATTTAGGACCCATATTTAATTAACGTTTTTTCATCATATCATTGCACATTTTAACCTCTTATGTCTATCTGTAGCTGTGAAAGAGGCGGCAGTCCAGAGGAGACACAACCTCTACAGGGACAGCATTGTCCTCTCTAACAGCGACCCCAGCCTCCACCTACTAGGAGAAAACCCCTCCATCGACTGGGCCGGGGAGTACGGAGGAGCCCAGGAGGTGGTGGATGGAGAAGGTGAGGATGTTGAGGGTGAAGGTGGGGAGTCCCAGAAGAGGAGGAGGATGAAGCAGGTGGTGTCCATGATCCAGGTGGAAGGATCCCCAGTCCTACCCAACGAATCTTGCATAGAGGTGCCCGGTGTCGACAACATATCGGAAGAGGACGGAGAGGACGAGAAGGATGAAGATGGGGAGGAGGACTCAAATGGTAAAGCTTTTCCTGACCAGAGTGTATCTGCAAGTCCCAAAGCTTCAGAGAACCCTCCAGACTTGTCAAATGGTTCTGTCTTGAAGGAGGAGGAAGCTAAACCAGAGGAGCAGGGTAAAGAAGAAGTCCCACTGAAGATTAAAGTTGCTTCAAAAAGTATTTCAGAGGAAAGGGGTAAGGAAGAGGACAGCCAGCTGATGGTGGAGGAACAACCACCTTCAAACCAGAAGGAGACGACGTTGCCATCACCACCTTGTCCAGAGGAAGTCCCATGTGAAGCTTTTCCTGACCAGAATGGCTCTGCAAGTCCCAAAGCTTCAGAGCACCCTCCAGACTTGTCAAATGGTTCCGCCTTGAAGGAAGAGGAAGCAAAATCAAAGGAGCAGGGTAAAGAAGACGTCCCACTGCAGGTTGAAATTGCTTCAAGAAGTGCTTCAGATGAGAGTGGTAAGGGAGAGGACAACAAGCAAATGGTGGAGGAACAACCACCCTCAAACCAGGAGGAGATGTTGCCACCGCCACCTTGTCCAGGGGAAGTCCCATCTGGAGCTACAGTAGTGACTCCAGAGAGCCCTCCAGAGGTGACATCTGACTTCCCCCCACCTCCACACGACGACAGCGGCTTCCTGTCTCCCACCAGTAAGAGGGCAGAGGAGGAGGAGGAGGAGGAGGAGGAGGCGGCCCCAAGCACAGAGGTGGGGGAGACGAGTGTTGCCGCAGCACCAGGAGCAGTGTCCAAAACCTGTGACCCTGAGACCAGAGACCAGTGATCAGATGATTTATTTGACCTAAACTGAATCCAGCCTGTTTTGTTGTTTTTTTTGTATTTTTTTTTACAAAGATTCAAAACTTTCATTTAAAAAGCATGAAATGTCTTTTTAGTTTTCACACCAGTTCCAGGCATAGTAATCACTTGCAGATTATTTTCACCGAGCAGGGCTCAGGTGCTGTCGTCATTTTGTTAAATGTAGTTTTTTTTCTGTATAATTTAAACTTAAACTTTGCGTCAGAAAGAAAAAGCTTTCGATCCACTTAAGTTCCACAATTTATTTTCTCTTCACCTGGTATAAATGTGAGCACAACGGACAACCTTGAGTCCATAAAGGTGTGTTATAAACACATACAAGAACGGGCTACTTGAGGCGCTTTTGGTGAAATACATATAGATCAAAGTCTGTTTTGTTTAACTACCGTGTGGCCTTCAGTAACCTTTGGCATTGTTTTTTAATGACATTTGTTGATGTAAATACAGTCTGTGCTATTGGAAACTCATGGGTTATTATTGACCTAATTATCCAAAAGGAAATACTTTACTGAATGTGGAAAAGTCTCAAAGGTGATTTTTTTTTTTTTTTCTTTCATTTTTCATCTCAAACTTACATTCATTAAAATTCATTCATTGTCTCAGTATACATACTGACTTGACACAAGACTTGACAAATTCTTTTGTGTTGGTGAGAATAATATGAGTTTATCCCTTAACAAAGAAAGCTTTTATATATTATGTATGAATACTTACATGGACCAGTGAACTTCATTTCACATAATTTCATATAATTTCATCAGTGTCTTAACTGATTTCCCCACTCCCGTATTGTATTTATTATTTTGCATCCCCTTCTCTTTTTGACCAATGTACTTTTAAATTTATTTTACACGTGATACAAATATTATTGATAATAAATCATTATCGATTAATTATTATAAGTTGGTCTACATGGTCTTTGTTGTTACTACTCTAGGCATAGGAGGCATATGACTGTTTACTAATACAAAACATTGCTTCTTGCAATTGCTTGCAGATATTGACACTGTATTCCCATGAGTCCTTAGCAATGCACATCACAATTCTTGTGAAGATGAACAGGTTGTCCAGAAAAACATAGGAAGGATGTATACTGATGACAAAAATCCTTGCTTTATAGTTAAAGTGCATGTTCTGGTTGGGAATGGTTGAACAGTTGCAGAATATAATGTGTTGAGCAGTGGTGGAGGAAGTATTTAGATATTTTATTTAAGTAACAAAAGTAACAATGCCACACAGTAAAAATTATTACAAGTAATAGCTTTACATTGAAAAATGTGCTTATTAGTAATCAAGTATCAACCACTTTCAGCATCAAAAATAAAATTAGCCTACTGTAGAAACACAACTATTTTATTTTACCTATTAATGAAGTAACTAGTAATTTACTTTTAATTTACTAATAATTTGGTCATGGTGGAACTTTTAAAATGTCTTGGACAGTATTGGGCAGTAACACATTACTGCAATATTATGTCTCCCAGTAACTAGTATTGTAAGGGATTACTATTTCCAAAACGGTAATAACATTACAGTTACTAATCCAAGTAACACTGCTTACTGCTGCGCGACTGGGCGGCAGCTCAGCGGCACCGGACCTGTTGCTGTTCAAGTCAGCTGTTTGCCAGAAAGCTAAAGCAAGACTGGAGGAGGGGGAAGAGAGGTGTTCTTTTTTTCAACCGCGAACAATTCTACATGTAATTTATTGAAGCATCTGCTATAGCAGCACATCAACACGAAAGTTGTAGGAAGAAACTCCGGCACGTACATGCAGCCTTCGGGAGAGAGTGGCCTTAAACGTTTTAGGCTATGTTTTGTAAAAACACAATATAAAACAAAGGGTTGTGCATCGTCCAAAAAAACCAAGCTACTGATTACCCTTTTATTCCATTATATTTTAATATTTTGAATAGTTACCAGAATTGTGTTATTCCCTTAATATAAATAAAGACATTTCCACCATAAATTAATGCAGAAATATCTCCAGAATGCAGGAACTTAAGATTTTAATGCTCAAAATTTTCTGGGGAAGGACCCCACGCATATATTTCGGCACTCATTTTTTTTCTTCAATATAGTGTTATTCATCTGGTCTTGTTCTCGTTAAGTGTGTCGTCACACCCCGCATCTGAGCCCACCGCTTCTTAACACAAAGTGACGCCCTTGCCGGTGAGTGCCTGAAAACCTCATGTAAAACTACCACCGAGGACGTGCAGCATGGAGGACACAGGTTAGCGGTAGTGAGTTATCTTTCAGCGTGGCTGCCTTCAATCTTCAGCAGCACCTGAAGGCAGTACAGAGGACGCGCTGCGTGTTGACGTCACCACGATCAGTCAGCCAGTCAGCGTTGTGCATCCGTGTTGCAGGTCCGCGGTGGAGAGCAGACACCCTGCGGCAAATCCACAGGAGGGTTGGTATCATCACTGTCGCCGGCAGCGTGCTCTCGTAAACTCTTTTGGGTTTCTTATTGTCTCCGTTATTTATTTCGTTTTTCGGGGCCCTCTCCTCCCTGAGCACCAGGGAATGGGGGAATGATCAGCGCAGACTCCCCTCCGCCGCCGCCTTCTCCTGCACCTCCTTACGTCGGTCTCCGTGTTCCCTGTCAGTCGTCGGAGCTCTGCCCAGGATGCGGGCCCCGCTGCACGGCCAGGCTGCGGTGCTCGCGGCCCTATTGGCGTTGAGCACCTGCTTGACAGGTAAGGAACTGCTGCTCCCTGCTGTCATTCAGACACAGGCTGGGGTTGTGAAGCTACTAAGGGCCTCCAAGACAGCCGAGAATCTAGGTGTTCCGGTACCCTCTCCTCTGATGCAATTATGATAATGGTATTATAATGTTGCTATAGGGACCTCTGTGGTTCAGGGGCTCATTCAAATATTCTATATAGCCTATATCTATATTCCTGATGGGTGTTCAGTGTCTATGGCACTAATATGACCTCATGGTATTCAGTGATATTGATTATCTCCTGTGGTTATACGTGTTTATGGCACTCAGCAGTACAATGACCTTATCATGCCAGACTGTATTTTTTTATATCACTTTTGTTATGGGTATTATAATTGTATAATATTTCACTGGAAGGATTCATTTAGCCACATTTGCAGAGGATGTGTCTAAATGTGTTGTGATTTTCAGAACTGAAATGATTTGGCTGTTAATCGGGTCGTCAACAGAAAACTTATTAGTAAGTATTGGTACAAAACAAATGAATCAATTATTTAAGAAAATAATAATCAGATTAATTGATTATAATTACGTTTCAATTTGTTTAAATTCGTTTTTTGTACAGCCTCCGTGGTTTGGTCCGTTTATGATTTCAGAGACACCAGTCAAGGAGGTAAAGCGGGGTGTGGTGATGGTGCAGTGGATAAGACACATGCCTTTGGTGTGAGAAACTCTGGTTCAATTCCTCACTGTGTCCCTGAGTAACCTAACCCCTAGTTGCTCCACAGGCGTGTGACCTCTGACATATATAGCTTTGGATAAAATGTAATGTAATGTAAAACACATCATGGGCCTGAGAGATACATTCTGAAAACACAGTTCCTAGAATGCTATTAGATGGATCATACAATGGTCAGCAATATCCGTGCACACAACTCCTGATTTCATGTTATTACCCAACACATTTGTAAAGATCAGGGCGGCAGAGTTTGCTGTCACTCTGGTTGGGTCTTTAATCACACAGGATAAATATAATATGATGAGAGTACACTGTGTCAATAAAGTCCTTAACTAAATTATTAGTGTTAAAATTTACAATAAATATCAGTTTCCCCTTCGTTAGAATTCATCATCAAGAACATCAAGAACACTTGCAAGGTCAGTACTGAATACGGACAAACGAGAGCTGCTGCTCTATAGATACAATAATGGTCTGGAGGGTTTCAACAATCTCAGCCTCAGCAGAAAGGGTGAAATCATTCTCAGTATCTTATTTTTTCTCATAGACCAGGCTAGGGTTGAACTATGAGACACCCCCACCCATCTGGTCTTCTCTGCATCATCTATATACTTATAGTTAAAGTCATAGAAATCTGCATTGTGTTTAGTCAACCAGGTTTCAGTTGCATTTAAAGAGAAGACAAGCTTAGCCAAACAAAGCATACAGTATCATAGTTTTTGGCATGCTGGGAACATTGATATGAAGAATCACTTTTAATTAGTTTGGAGGTCAACAAGGCTTGCAGGTGGAATATAAAAGGTTTTATTGTTTACATTAAACTAGCCTAATGATGATTAGTTATTGCTGATCGTTGTTTTGGGGTATTTTCCATGTTACTCTCCTCCTTCTTCTTGTCCTCTTCTGAGAAAAATGTGGTTGTCTCAGCTCCCACCGATTCCTCCTCTGCTTTACATAACGTTAGCTAAATGGACCCCACTGACAAGCATAAAACATCCTCAACAACATGAACATTTAAAGAAACATTTAGCTCAACGGTCAAGGTTAGTTTTTAGTCACGGTTAAATATATATATTTCCTTAGCGACAGCATCAAGCTAGCGCTTTCAGGTGGCTCTGCTGTACTTTGAAATGCGGAAATGACGTCGTCAGCAGGCAGCGTGACATGTTCTCTGAAAAAGAGTGTCGATTTTCTTTCCACCGGTGGAAAGTTTGTTTCAAAACTCCGTGTGTGAAGAACTGAGATCGACAAATACTATAATAAAGCTGGACTCACAAATGCCAGTTTGAAAGTGTCAAATGTTACAAAGATATTCACAAATGTGGTTTATTTATTTGTAAATTATTAAATATATTCACAGATTTTTTTCATTTCTTTTGTGTATTTGCAGATCTGTTTAATATTTGCAAAATATTTTTGTGAGTTTACAAATCTTCTTTTTGTGTTTGTAGACAGTGTTGTATATTTACAGATTACACATTTACACACCGATCGCAAATCTGTTCACACAAATAATATTGAAAGAAAATGAACTCCATAGTTGAGTCCCAAAATTCACTATCTGAATGTTGGGATGTAAAAGGAAACGTACTCTATTAAAAGTCCATTTGCTTGATCATATGTCAGTGTTAATGTGTGGTAAGCCAGAATTATTTGATTATTTTTGCTCAAAGCAAGCACTTCTCAAATGTCTTATATCATGTAAACTAAACAGCTGTGGGTTTTAAACTGTTGGTCGGAAAAACAAGACATTCAAAAACTGTTCGGTTTGGAAATCCTAAAGGGCGTCTAGACTAAATGATTTATCAGTTCATCCAAATTTACAGCAACTGCAATGATGATTATTTTCTTGATTAATCAATTCAATAATTAGTCTATAAAATGTTAGAAAAATTGATCTGCTGATTAATTAATCAATCAATTGTTTAAGATATATAAAAATAATTAGCTGTATATCGTGTATTTCTAATGTTAAAATGCACGTAAGTTGAAGATGATTGAGATCTTACAACTTATATGTAAGGATGTCTTGCGTTATATTTGCATTCAGCCGCTGCCAGCCTTTCCTTGCTGAATTTTGTGAATGTCTTGAAAGTTCTAGGGAATAGAGTGATTACCCTGTATGATCCTATGGTTATAGCACAACCAATAAGACTGTAAGTCCTCATAGGAACATTTAGTATAATGAGAGAAATATTAAAATACAGAATGTTGAAGTCAGTTGTTGAGACATTCTTACATACAGTCCTTCAGACATCTATACTGATGATTTTTTAAATTGTTTTTTAAGTTGCTTTCAGACAAATCTGAAGTAGTGCCAGTGCGTCAGTGCTGTCATGATCATAGGCACAGATTAGTCCCTTGGTGGTTTCACCCAGTGACGTGCATGTTGCGTCTGGCTGGGAGAAAATACGACAGAAATCACATTAGGCCATGAGGTGGGAAATGGGTGATTCAGTGCAAGACAAATGGATTGAACGAGCTGTTCAGGGAACATCAGTGGGTATGCTGCTGGTGTCCTAGTCTCAGTTATCGTAGCAGAGGTGTTTGCTGGTTGTCCTCAGAAACACATTCCTGCTGTCAGAGCTGTAGAGCTCCCCGTCACTGACCTGGGTGACCATTTCAGTGTCTCACAGTTTATTCTGAGATGCACACAAACCCCTCCACTATTTTACTCAGCATGACAACAAAGGTGCTGTAACATTATCACATGATGATGCAAACATGACCACACTGCTTTTGTTGTCTCTATAGCAAAGCAAAATGTGCGTACCCTCTTAATATCCCACCACAGCACCAGAAAGAACTTTCAGACCATCATGTGACAACACTATGGGACACAAACAGCAACAATTACATTCTCTAACGCAGGTCGAAACATCCTAATTACTGCTTAATTATTTACACTGAACAAAATTATAAACGCAACACTGTTGTTTTTGCCCCGATTCATCATCAGCGGAACTCAAAGATCTAAGACTTTCTCTATGTACACAAAAGGCCTATTTCTCTCAAATATCGGTCACAAATCTCTCAAAATCTGTGTTAGTGAGCACTTCTCCTTTGCCGAGATAATCCATCCACCTCACGGGTGTGGCATATCAAGATGCTGATCAGACAGCATGGGGATCATTTTGTTTCTTTTTATATTTACATATTTTACTAATCATTCTATTTTTACACTCCACTCCTTTTATTGTCTTATATTTGTCTACATTTGAATTATTTCACTCTTGTTGATTCATCACCTTGTCTTTTACACAAATGTGACACAATTGACACAAATGTGTAGGGGGCAATGACGGACAAATAATAAATACAACAAACAAAAAATTAGATGGTTTATATATTTAATAGTAATCGAATATAAGCAGCCTTTCTTGCTGCTTGCAATAGAAGCATGTAATGACTTGTTGCTAGCTTGTCATTTTTGCTCGCTTTTGAAAGTAAACTATAGTAGCCTGGTAGCAACCTAGCTAGTTACCCATCTAAATGGAATAACGTTACAATCATCAGATCAGATGCATATGCTTATGCTTCATACATATTCTTCAGGTAAAACGAATTATTGTATGAAGACTCACCAATTGGAAATACAAAGGCAAGTTGTAAGGTCCTGTGTTCAACAGTAATATCAATACCAACCTGAGCTTGAAGATGAGGCAATGGCAACAGGAGATAACTCCTCCACCTTCTCTTGCCTTATTAGTTCCTGATTCTGGGAGTCAGTACAAAATCCCCAGAACTGCTGCATCTCTGAACTCTGTCTTTAACCAAATCACACACATTTAGGCTGTTCTATATGATCTTGTTTGATATGTAATATTATTTTCACTTCAATTCATTTAGCCTCCCTGAAACATTTTGGACCTCCCCTGGGTCATGCAAGATCAGAATGATGGATAAATAGATCTGGCCCTTATTTTTAATTATTTAATTATTAGCCCAGGCCTAAGGAAATATTGTACAATGAAGTGGATCAGGTTTGACTAGTGTGAGAAATGGGAAATCAAAAAAGCAAAACACTAAAAGGTGAAAAGCCTGATTAATCATAACCCATTAGAATTATGGGTGAACAAATAGGTATACCGGGTAAATTAACCTGTTTTTATTTTCTGTTTGACTCTAATTGTATTTAAATGTATTTTTTAAAATATTTTCCTTTATGTTTTATGTGGAGCACTTTGAATGCCTTGTTGTTAGGATGCCCGTGAATACAACCATCCCACGTGAAATTACACACAAAAATACCACACATAAAGGTAAAAAAAATACTGATTAATTGATTAATT